AGTGGATGCACAGCTACCTGATTCCACTTCCTAAGCCTGGCAAGGATCATTCAACACTCAGTGGCTTTAGGATCATAACCCTACAAAACACCTTTGGTAAAGTGCTGGAGAAGTTGGTGGCAAGTAAGCTACAAGAATTTTTGGAACAGAGAAATCTCCTTCCACGAGGTTTGGGAAGTTACCGGCCGGGGAAAAACACATGGTCAAATGCAGCCACTTTTGCCTCTGATACCTTCGAAGGTTTTCAGAACAGACAGGAAACGATGGCAGCGGAAATTGATTTAGAAGATGCTTACAACAGAGTCAGATACAGTATCTTGGTGAAGAAGGGAGTCTGTCTGTGGTTGGTGAATAGTATAGCAGCTGTTTTGTATACTCGCCGGTAGCTCTTCGCCTGGGTTCATTGACCTCTGAACCATGTATTATAGCTCCAGGACTGCCAGAGGGATCTGCAATTTCACCTGTACTATTCAATGTTTTTACTAGCAAGATTGTTGCCCGGAAACACATGGAGTTGGCAGTAAATTGATATTTGCAGATGATGTTTTTGTATATAGGAGAGGGAGAGATTGGAATCAGATAGCTGAAGCGTTACAGGCAACAGTAGATAAGGTGATAGACTGGTGTGCAGAGTTGAGTGTTGTAATCAACTCAGAAAAGGCAACCGTCCTGTGGTGTTCTTTATACAACCGGATTGTTAGAGCTGATGTTCCCAGACTCAAAATAAATGGCAGGAACATCAAAAGAGACAGCAGACAGCGGTACCTGGAAATCACCTTTGACAGAAGTTTGTCTTTCATGGATCCATAGAGGGAGTTGTGACAAGGGCTCAAAAAGGTCTAAATGCACCAAAGATTATGACAGCGATGGACATGAAGCAGAAAATGCTGTTCACACTTTACCAGCACTTAATCATCTCAGTGATTGATTATGGATTGGGGCTACTCACTGTCTCGAAAAGTCAAGCAGAAAAATTTGAGCGCATACAGAATGAAGCTATGCGGCTGATCCGGGGTAGTACAAGAGACACCCCGATTGATTGAATGCGATACATCCTTGCATTGCCGACCATTGAAGATGGGCTTAAGGTGCTGCAGGCTAAGTTATACCTCAGAGTAGCTGCAGACAGGAAACACCATCTGTATGAAGTTTTGGTTGTAGGTAAGGGTCAGAGGCTGAAAAGGGGAAAATCATAGATGGCTCAAAGGAGAAGACAAAAAAAAGTATGCATGCCGGAGAACATCAGGAGAGTAGAGAAGTGGGTCAGAATATCAGTGGGAAAGTCTGACTGTGTAGGGTTATGATAACTTTGGGCCGGGTGTGCAGAGAGTGGCCAGCGGGTGCTACGGAGGTTGAAGTCCAACACTCGAGTCACGACAATTTACGCCCAGGTGATCTGATTATCTATACAGATGATTCAGTGTTGAGAGAAAAGAGAAGTGCCTGGGGGTTCGTAGTGAAAACAAATGAAAATCTTTAGTGCAAGATAGCCTAGCATATGATACCACAACATCTAGCATGAGAATGGAGGTGGGGGCGGTAACTGCAGCTCTCCGGTGGCTAGAGAACAAGATGCATACACGTGTCGTGATTGTAACAGACTCTGGAAGTATTCTGAAAATGGTGAAGACAGGGACGCTTCGAGCAGAGTGGCAAGCTTCACTGGAAAGTTCACGGGTGGTGAGCATACTTTGGATCTTTTCTCCAGGCCATGCCGGCGTAGTGGATAATGAAGAGGCAGACCGATTGACTGGATCCGCATCACTAAGTGGTGAATTGATACATGACAAGGCAGATGTGGTCAAGTTCCTTTAGGAACAAGCAACGGAATTAGTTGAGAAAGTAGATTATTATGGACTGCAGAGAATGAGGCACCTTGGTGTAAACAGAGGGTCTGGCCGGCTCACCACACGTAGAGGTAAGGCAAGACGGACTTTTAACCACATTGTGACCGGTACCACCAGTATTGGAACTCTGCGTTGGCTTCTGAAGATGAGGACGGAGTATGCATGGGAATGCCCGGGTGCTGTGATGTCAATTCTTGACTCAACTCAACTCAACACTAGTTTCCAGCAGACAGTTAATTGACACTGACTTCTTCGCTCCACAGTCTATAGACTGCAGCGTGTTTACATGTCCCCAGTCCACACATGACTGCCCACCTGAGTCTGTCTGGTTCATTATTGAATGCTAGCAGATGTGTGACTGATGTCTGTTCCAACATATCAATGATTATGTGAATTAGTGTACAAGCTTGTTGTTTACTGGCATTCACAGGAGGACCAGAAAAAACTACAGGAGTCACCAAAAAGGATGACACAGGACAAGAGGAAAGTCAACCAGAAGGCGAAGAAGAGGATGGCGTAGATCAACAAGAAGCGAGGCAACCAGCAGCCACTACAGAGCATAGCAAGGAAGGGTTAAATGACAGTGAAACAGAAGGTGAAGCAAAGGACCAAGAGAAGACCACGACTGTGCACGAAGAAGACCAGACTAGGATGAGGGCCAGTTCGAGGGCCAGTCCTACCGGTATCCCCGTGCGCTTCCTCAAGGCTGGGCAGATTTATAAAGGTAAATTCAACAAGGTCGCATACGCTCCTACGATGCTTGACTGTGCGAGGGAGTGGTTACTGTCGGTTGACCTACCTTGTCAAGTAAAGTAGCCACAGTTAATCTGGAAGACTGGCCTGCGACCCCACGAAGTCCTACACTCTGCGGAAAAACTTAAGCTCATTATAATTGAGCTGACCGTGCTGTATGAGTCACGGATGGACGAAAGTCATATGTATAATCTCGAAAAATACAGTAACCTCGCGGCTGATCTGAGGAGAGACGAAGCGGACACAGTAAGAATCTTCGCTGTCGAGGTAGGCGCAAGAGGTCTGGTCTCAACTTCCATGTACAATGTGATAAAGTAACTGGGCTTGAGAGGAATGAGCGCAAGCGAGCACTAAAACAGATGGGCGAGGCTGCTGAGAGAGCCCCGAGCTGGCTTTGGACACAACGGACATCGTGGGTGACGGCCCTCTGTAGGCTGGTCTAGGTATCTGGTAGAAAAGAAGTCTTATCCCTTAAAAGTCCATCTTGTCCGAATTGTCTGCCAGTGTCCTTCTGCCATTAGTCAACAAAGTCTAACATGTGTCAGATAAACCAACCGTAAGCTTGCCACTTGGTCGTTTATGCCGGGTGTTCTAATAGGCTACCGCCGCGATTATGTTAAACAAGCTTCGAATCTCACAGTACCTGTTGCATAGTCACCAATTTTGTCATGTCCCTGTCCGAGAACATCCGGTAATACGTGCAGCAGGAGCAGATCAAGCCTGAGCTTCATGAACTCAGGTGGGCCCACTCTCTGAAATTGTCTAGGAGCTTGTGGGCCGAAACAATTATGGATGAGGGATCACTTCTACTGATGTTTGGTAGACTCCTGCTGTACATGCTTCCATGTGGAGTTTCTTCTTATTGTACGTGGCTAGCCCAAAAGACAACCAGAAAAGACTAGTGGACACCTATGGAAAGACTGGCGCCCCGGCAGCGCCGGAATGTAAACTGGCATTCTGAAGACAGAGGGTTAACTGTGGACCGCGCTGATCACCCCTAACACAGTATAATACCTCTGATTTCGATAAACCAAATAGAAATATGTCCTCAGGGTCCATCGAAAGAGAGGAAGAATAATGGACCTAACCCGATGGATACTAAGGGTAAAGGCCCTGCTAGCTCCCGGCTTGAGATTATTGTCCAAAGATCGGGTTGGCAATGTACATGTGGAAAGAGCTTCACGTTGTTGCATGTTCTAAGAAATCATGCCGGAAGGATGCAAAGTGAGCGTGCGCCATGCAGTAAGCGTCTTAGTATAACTACTACTCCTGTGGTACTTACTAAGTCGTCAGGGATCGATGGGCAGGGTATACCCCACTCGCCCAGAGAGGCCCATGACGTCGACTACGGAGGCACACATTTGAGATTACTGAAGAAGTCCGTTCGAGTATCAAGTTTCCACCTGCAAGCGATAAGGTGTCGTGGTGCAAACTTGAGAGTACACTGTGTAAGAAAAAAAATCATGATGTTAAGCAAAAGTCGTTAGGTGACAAGCTAACACGGTTTGTTAATATAATATACGAGCAATGTTCCCGCGAGTTCGGGTCAGTTGAGAAGACGCAGATCGAATGAAATATTGAATGACTGCAGATGTATGACTAATGTCTGTTCCAACACATGAATGATTTTGTGAATTAGTGTACAAGCTTTTTTGTTTACTGGCATTCACAGGGGGACAAGAGAAAACAACAGGAGTGACCGAAAAGGATAACACAGAACAAGAGGAGAGTCAACCAAAAGCCGAAGAAGAGGATGACATGGAACAACAAAAAGAGGATGGCGTAGAACAACAAGAAGTGGATGGCGCAGAACATCAAGAATGGGGGCAACCCGCAGCCACTACAGAGCATAGTAAGGAACAGCTAAATGCAAATGAAATAGAAAATGAAGCGAAGGACCAAAAGGAGACCACGGCTGTCCACGAAGAAGACACTAAACCAGAGCAAGCCAGCAAAAACGCTTCCCAAGCTCCAGTGAATGAGCTGACTGTTGCTACTCTGATTGATGAGGCTAGGGGCGGTCGTGCCGACTCATTCCTCAGTGTTGAAACAGAAGAAACCGACGAGGATGAGAAGAGGACTCCCCAGGAAGTGGTTTACGATTGGGAGGAAGAGCTGAATGAATACGATGAGCCGGATATTTACCCATCTGAGAAAGATTATAAGTGGATCACAGAGCTGGTGGAGGTCACAGAAGAAGAGGAAGCCACACCTGTGGAAATCTCTCTACCAGAACAGGCTGCGGTAACCGAGGAGAAGGAAGCAGGACAAGAAGGAGAATCAGCCGTTCGGGAAGAGAAGAAAGAGAAGGAGAGCGATGCTGGGTCTGAGATTAATGAAGTAGCAGAAACTGCACCTGTCGCAACAGAGCAAGAGCAGGAAGAAGAACCGCCAAAGAAAATGTTCAAAACGGTGTTAGTGAGAAAACTCATTGAAAGACCTCCTAAAATACACTACACACCTTCAGAGGAAAGGATGACTCACCACACTGACGACCCGAGCTTTTTCTCTAAAGAGCCCATTAGTCTCCTGTATGCGTTTGGCTACGACAGCCAGAGAATGGCAAACCTCCACGTTCTGGACGAGACCACACTGCTGTACATGTCAGGCTTCGTGCTGACCTTCCTCAACCACAGAACGCTGGGGAAATCTTATCTTCGATGTCTCGGTGGCTCTTGTTTTGGAGCACTAGCAATTCACCCCAGTAAAAAACTGTTTGCAGCCGCCGAGAAAGGACGCTATCCATTAATTGGAATCTGGTCGTGGCCAAAGCTGCAGCTGTTCCGGAAACTGAAAGAGGGAACGGATAAAGTGTATGCCTCTGTGAACTTTAGCCCAGATGGTAGACACCTGGCATCACAAGGCGGAGACCCAGATTACCTGATTACCGTCTGGAACTGGCTGGCCGAGTCACCCCTGCTCCGTGTCAAGTCTCACGCCCAGGATGTCTTTAGGGTCACGTTCTCCAGGGAGCTGGCTGGACGGCTGACCACTTCCGGCTTATGTCATATCAAATTCTGGAAGATGGCGAACACATTTACCGGACTGAAACTGAAAGGTGACATTGGGCGGTTTGGTCGCACTGAGCTGTCCGATATTGAAGGCTATGTGGAAATGCCTGATGGAAAAGTTGTCAGCGGAACTGAGTGGGGGAACCTCTTAGTGTGGGAGAACGGTTTAATCGTGGCCGAACTGTGTGTGAAGAACGACGTGCCTTGTCATGATGGTATTGTCCGACAAGTGCTGCTCAACGAGGGCGAGTTCTACACAACAGGCCAGGACGGCATGGTGAAGACTTGGAGCTTCGATGCCGTGGACACGGCTGAGATCAACACCAGTGAGGAGAGCATCAAGGTACCGCTCAAAGTGTTGGCAAAAGTAAGCGTCAACGAAGGCGCGGATATTTGGTCCATTGTTCCGGACATGCAGGAATCAGATTCAACATCGGTGTTCTGGTTCGCGCAGGACGGCAAGGGTACTATCTGGAAAGTCGATCTGTCGTTTCTTAACACTGCAAAGGAACCAACAGTTATCTCCACGGCTCACGGTGGACCCATCGTCGGCTGTAAGTGCTCCCGCCTGGACACCATTTTTACCACACTGGGAGCCGACGGACAAGTTCGAGTCTACAATTACATCACCAAGGAATTATTGGCTAGAGCCGCATTCAGCGCCCGAGGCTCCTGTCTGATCTGGCCATCAGTGTTAGACCCCTTCAACACAACCATGATCGCTGGCTTTACAGATGGCACGTTTCGGGTTCTGGCTCTGTCTGGAGAATCTAGCGACAACCTCCCAATGACTCTCAACTTGGAGCAGGTCAGGAAACCTCACTCGCAAGCACTGACCACGATGGAAGTGGACACTGACGGAGAGCTTTTTGTCACTGGAGGTGAAGACGGTACCATATTTTTCTTTGATGTGCGACAGGACTACCTGCCAATGGCCTTTGTCCAAATGCCGGACTGGAAGCCAGTGAGAATTGTGGCCTGGTCAAGAAGTATATCAGACAGAAAAACAGTGTTTGCAGCTCTCGATGGTGGCACTATACAAGAAGTTCTGGCGCCAACGTGGGAGGAAATAGATAACGAGACGTCGTATTTTCATGTTGATGCAAAGCTGCTCAGGCGATATGACTTCATGAGCATAAAGTCACAGCTGAGACACAACGAAGAACTACAGAGAGAAAGAATCGCAGAGGAGGCCAGACAAGCTGCAATGGAAGAAGAGAACAGACAAAGAATAGCAGATGGTATAGAGACACAATCTCAGCAGGATCTTCGTCTCATGCTAGAGGCGGAAGAGATGGAGAGAATGAAGGTAGACGAGAAACCCAAGAAAAAGTGGGAGCCGTACATTCCAGCGGAACCTAGCCCCATCTTGTTGATGATTCCCTGTCCATTTCAAAATGGCGAACTGGTGCTTTCAATGGGAAAATATGACGCCGGCTACTTGTACATGGTCAAACTCCTTGACAACGAAGAGAATCCTTCCTATGAAGCGAAACCACAGGAGCCAATTGCAGCCATTCCCGTGAACGAGTCGGATGATGTTCCTATGACAGCCTACACCATTAATTCTGACGGCGAAACCGTATTCTGGGGCTTTGAGGATGGCAGAGTTAGAATCCAACACTTGGCATTTCCATTTGACATGGAGAGCGTCGGTGCACACTGGACTATGGGGGTCCATGATTGCATCAGGGGCTCTTTGACATCCCTAGCTCTGGACAAGGATGGCATGTTCTTGATCACTTGTGGAAACGATGGCAACTGCTTCCTGCACAGTCTCGTGCCAGTGACGGATGTAGAGACGTACACGTCACAGGTGAAGACTCCTCAGATCCCTGTCAGACAGGCTCGAATGGACATCCAAGACATTCTGAGTCCAACTGCTTACACGCTTGAGGTGTCTAAAACTATCGAGAAAGAGATGGCCCTGCTGGCTACAGCCAAGCGTAACAAAGCAGCCAAGCGAGAAGAGATTGTTCGCTTACGTCTCATGTTCTATGATATAGTCAGACGGAACAACGAGCTCCCAGAGCACTGCCGTCTGACAGAGACTGAGTTTATAATTACCAAAGATGGCGCCGTTAGAAGAGAAGCAGAAATAGACCAAGCTCTAAAGCAACTTGATTTGGAGATGGCGTGGGAGAGAGAGCGATGCAGCATCGCCTTGAACAAGCTGAAGTCGTTTTACAAGGATCATGTCGAATGTCATCACTTTATCGTGAAGGCCTTCAACTCCAACCTGGCTGTAAGCTCCTTCAGACTGACCTCGTTTCCCCCATTCTTTGAGGTAGCCAAAGACAAGATCCTGCACCAGAGCACGCCTCACGGAGTTGAGTCCAGCATCGGCGACGACGACGTTTCTGGGGCGTCCAGTACCATTTATGAGCACGAGCCAAAGCCAAAACGGAAACGAGGCATGGACAAGTTCGTCTACCAACGGCTGGTGAGACTCTGGGAACGAAAGCAAAAGAAGATCCTTCGACGGCACGTGTGGAAAGAATTTCTGGCCACGGAACCAAAAGGCAAGGAACTCAGGGAAGAAGACAGAGCCATAGAGGAAGCTACCAACACAATAGGAGACATGAAGCTCAAGATGGCTGCTGACTACAAGATTCCCGACAGCAAGAAGCTGACGGAACATCGAGGTCGCAAGCGTCTTGTATATTTGGAGGAAATTATCTATAAGCTAAAAAGCAACTTCAACACATCATTAATTCAACAGTTGCAACGTAAGACTCAGCTTATAGAACAAATGAACAGCTACCGGAATATTGTACTCGAACACCAGAGTCTGCTTCCCAAGGAGGAGCGCCTAGAGGTCCCGGAGATTGAAAAACTCAGCCCAGATGAAAACCCAAGACGGCACCTGGAATGCACGCCTGATGAAGTCAAAGCTTATAAACAGCAACTGGAGGAGAGGTCCAAGATGGCAGCCACGCAGGTTACCACACATAAAACTAAAAAAGTAGAAACACCAGTTAAACGGAAGCAACACGCCGGACAACTTTACAAGAAAGTATCGAGTACAAACAAGTTGCCGCTACACGAAGTAACCGACGAGGAGAAGGTCAAAGAAGAAGGACACGACCTGGGCAATTTTGTGGAAACGATTCCTTGCGAGCCGTCGACTCTAGAGAAGCGTATCATGCACGTGAAGCTGCAAGTGGCCAGGCACTATCAACAATACTACATTAACAAGATCGCAGAGGAGTGCTTCATTTTCAACGCCCAGATTAAAGTTCTGAGGCATCGAAAAGCAAAACTGGATTATCTGTTAAAAACTGCTGACCAAAGAATGGTGGTTCTGACCCAGGAGTTTCTGCTGGCTCAGAGAAGCGAGGCCATGGAAGCAGCGATGGAAGCACAGATTATGGATGCCAACAAAGAAAAGAAAGAATATGCGGCACATGTGAAAGCCTTGTCAAAGAAACAAGAAGCAGTTAAGAAAGACATGGATGGCTTCCTTAAACAAAAGAACGTTTTGCTTCAAGATGTTATGCAGATTGCTTCGAAAGTTCCCGTCTTTGAAAAGTACTTGATCCGTGTCTTCAACAAAAAGATTAGCAAACCTAAAGTTAAAGAGCTGGGGGTCAAGATAACAGAATCCCAGGTCTCGTCCGGAAGTGACGACGACAGTGACTCCAGCAGCGATATGGACATGGATTTGGATGAAGATGATGACGACGGGCTGGACATTGATTTCCCGCCCCCAGAGCTCAACAAAGACGTCTACGACCAGGTGGTTGAAGTCCGCAAAGGGCGTGTTGCTATCGACGAGCACGAACAGGCCGCCAAGGAGGTCTTCGACGAGCTGGCAGCCAGCATCAACACACTGAAGGGCAAAATTGCCGCTGCTGACAAGGAGTTCGAAAAAGGCCGAAAGGAATTGGAGGCGTTCACCAAAGAAAAGCAGCAGTTCCTCAACGCAATCGACATTGCCGTCTCGCTGAACCTACACCAGATTCTTCACACGGACAAGGACCTCAGTGTGGCTCTGGTCACCGAGAACAGCACTATCAGTAGGCTCCGACAGCGCATCCCAGAGCTGTTGAAAGAGAAGAGGCTGCAGAGGAAGAAGGTCCTGGAGGTGAAGAAGCAACACTTTCAGCTGCAGAGGGAGAAACAGAGGTTTCTAGACAGGTGAGAGTGGTTGTCATGTCTTGTCCTCGACTTTCTCGGTACGGAAGTGGGTCGCACTAGTTGAGTGCCTGGCAATGACAGCCGCTACTGACAGAGATGGCATACTGCAGGCCCAGGTAATAGAGTGGAGTAGTCAGGGATACAAAATACTTGCTTCATAGGGAACTGGAATCATGACCACTTAATGCCACTAAAAGATCTGTTGGTGCCATTATATACTATGTTGGTTCCATTATATGATCTGTTGGTGCCATTATATGATCTGTTGGTGCCACTATAGAATCTGTTGGTGCCACTATATAATCTGTTGGTGCCATTATATGATCTGTTGGTGCCATTATATAATCTGTTGGTTCCATTATATGATCTGTTGGTGCCATTATATGATCTGTTAGTGCCACTATAGGATCTGTTTGTGCCATTATATAATCTGTTGGTTCCATTATATGATCTGTTAGTGCCATTATATGATCTGTTGGTGCCATTATATAATCTGTTAGTGTATTTATGTGATCTGTTGGTGCCTTTATATGATCTGCTGTTGACATTTTATGATCTGTTGTTGACATTATATGATCTGTTACTGCCATTATATGATCTGTTGTTGACATTATATGATCTGTTGTTGACATTATATGATCTGTTACTGCCATTATATGATCTGTTGTTGACATTATATGATCTGTTACTGCCATTATACGATCTGTTGTTAACATTATATGATCTGTTGTTGACATTATATGATCTGTTGTTGACATTATATGATCTGTTGTTGACATTATATGATCTGTTGTTGACATTATATGATCTGTTACTGCCATTATATGATCTATTGTTGACATTATATAATTTGTTACTGCCATTATAGGATCTGTTGGTGCCATTATATAATCTGTTGGTGCCATTATATAATCTGTTAGTGTATTTATGTGATCTGTTGGTGCCTTTATATGATCTGCTGTTGACATTTTATGATCTGTTGTTGACATTATATGATCTGTTACTGCCATTATATGATCTGCTGTTGACATTATATGATCTGTTGTTGACATTATATGATCTGTTACTGCCATTATATGATCTGTTGTTGACATTATATGATCTGTTACTGCCATTATACGATCTGTCGTTAACATTATATGATCTGTTGTTGACATTATATGATCTGTTGTTGACATTATATGATCTGTTGTTGACATTATATGATCTGTTGTTGACATTATATGATCTGTTACTGCCATTATACGATCTGTTGTTGACATTATATAATCTGTTACTGCCATTATACGATCTGTTGTTGACATTATATGATCTGTTGTTGACATTATAGGATCTGTTGTTGACATTATATGATCTGTTGTTGACATTATATGATCTGTTGTTGACATTATATGATCTGTTGTTGACATTATATGATGTTACTGCCATTATATGATCTGTTGTTGACATTATATAATTTGTTACTGCCATTATATGATCTGTTGTTGACAGTATATGATCTGTTGGTGTCATTATATGATCTGTTAGTGCCATTATATGATCTGTTGGTGCCATTTTTTGATCTGGCCTGTTGACACTATTCTGTGACGAGTTAACACTTTTCAGTGGCATGAAGACACTTGGCTATTACCTGCTGGCATTAGTCTATGACATGCTGATACTGCTCTATGACATGCTAATACTGCTCTATGACGTGCTGATACTGCTCTATGACATGCTGATACTGCTCTATGACGTGCTGATACTGCTCTATGACGTGCTGATACTGCTCTATGACGTGCTGATACTGCTCTATGACATGCTGATACTGCTCTATGACGTGCTGATACTGCTCTATGACGTGCTGATACTGCTCTATGACGTGCTGATACTGCTCTATGACGTGCTTACACTACGCTCTAAGCTGCTGACAATATTCTATGAACTCCTGACACTTTCTGTAACGTTATGACACTGTTCAGTGACGTACTGACACTATTCTATAACCTCCTGACACTATTCTGTGACATACTGACACTATTCTATGACCTACTATTTCTACTCCTGGCCAGGCTGGAGGAGATGAGCAAGAAGTGTGACGAGGCGATGCTGCGAAAGTTCGGCATCGTCACGGATGTGGAGATGTTGGAGAACTTCTGCGTGGATCCAGAGATCGTGGCTCTCCAGAAGCAGCTGCACGAGCTGGAGGTAAGTGTCGACGTACAGACGGAAGACACACAGACAGACACACGGACAGACACACGGACGGACAGACATACGGACAGACATACGGACAGACATACGGACAGACATACGGACACACACACGGACAGATACACGGACAGACACACGGACGGACAGACATACGGACAGACATACGGACAGACATACGGACAGACATACGGACAGACACACGGACAGATACACGGATATACATAAAGACAGGCAGACGGACAGACACACGGGCAGACAGACGGACAGACATACGGGCAGACATACGGACAGACACACGGATAGACACACGGATAGACATAAGACAGGCAGACGGACAGACACACGGGCAGACAGACGGGCAGACATAAGGACATACAGACGGACAGACAGACACACGGGCAGACCGGCAGACAGACACACAGACACACGGGCAGACGCACGGATGTATGGACAGACAGACGAGTAGAGACACGGGCAGAACGAACGAACAAATGAACGAACAAACTTTATTTTCAAAGGGTTGAGAATTGGGCACACAGGCCTGTCTTATATTCTGCCCTTCTGGCCTCACGCCATGCATACATTATTCATGCACACATTGTTTTAGCAGATAATAATAATAATAATAATAATAATAATAATAATAATAATAATAATAATAATAATAATAGTATTCATAAGCATCATTAACAACATCTTTGTAACAATGTACTCTAAGTATGCCCACATTTTAAAACAAGTATAATACTAATTATAATAAATCTTGGTGGAAATCAACAATATTCTCATGAAACAATTATCTTCTAAGGGGGCATGTAGTCTGAAGTGAGATAATATTCAAAAAGCTTCCAATTGTATTTATAGGGGTTGTTGATATTTTTGATTGGTTGTGGAAGATTGTTCCACAGATGAGCTGCAGAGTACGCCAAGCTTGTTTTGTACAAGTCTATTCTAGGTTTAGGGATGTGTAACATGTTTGGGCGTTTGCTATGTCGCCCATTATACTTAAAGAATGGACAGACGCACAGACTCAAGAGCAAACGCACGAATGTATTGACAGACAGACGGATCGACACTCGTTAGATGGGCAGACACACGGACCCATCGGCGGGCGGTATCTCGCGGTAAATTTCTGTCTTCATACATCCTTGGCATGCACCAACGCTGAGGCAAATGACAATTTGCCACAGTAAGTCTCAAACGCCGAAGTTTCACATGTCCGCTAACATTGGTAGAAAGTTTCACATGTCTGCTAACATTGGTAGAAAGTTTAACATGTCCGCTAACATAGGTAGAAAGTTTCACATGTCCGCTAACATAGGTAGAAAGTTTCACATGTCCGCTAACATAGGTAGAAAGTTTCACATGTCCGCTAACATAGGTAGAAAGTTTCACATGTCCGCTAACATAGGTAGAAAGTTTCACATGTCCGCTAACATAGGTAGAAAGTTTCACATGCCCGCTAACATAGGTAGAAAGTTTCACAAGTATGCTAACATTGGTGCCGCTCGTCAAAGTGTCGGGACCCCCCTGGAGAAGACCTGCCTGACGCATGCGCTCTTAATACTGTCTTGATGAGGGTCCAGATAAAACAACGTGTTGCAGACAACTGTACGGTTCTTTTCTTTTAAGCGACCACATCATGCCAGATTTAGTGAAATCCCATAATATAGGATGGTTAGGTGTTAGAGTTAGTCACTGTTCATTTAACACTAACCCTAACACCTCAGCCCCCCCCCCCCCCCACGCTTTTTTTTTCTTCAAGTCACTTGCTATGGAATTTCCGTAAATATCGCGTGATGTGGTGGCTTAGAAGAAAAGAACCGACTATACCCATCTGTGTTGTCATCAAAGTCCTGGACCTGCGGGCTGCACGCTCCTGACCTCCTGAGGGCGCAGCCTGTGACGAGCGGGAAGCTCACCGTACGGTTGTGAGGGTAGGCAGTCATGTGCAGGACGTGACGAGAGGGAAGCTCAACGTACGGATGTGAGGGTAGACAGTCATGCGAGGGACGTGACGAGTGGGAAGCTCAACGTACGGATGTTAGGGTATGCAGTCATGGGCAGGACGTGACGAGAGGGAAGCTCAACGTGTACGGTTGTGAGGGAAGGCAGTATTGTGCAGGACGTGACGAGAGGGAAGCTCAACGTACGGATGTGAGGGTATGCAGTCATGTGCAGGACGTGACGAGAGGGAAGCTCAACGTACGGATGTGAGGGTAGACAGTCATGCGAGGGACGTGACGAGTGGGAAGCTCAACGTACGGATGTTAGGGTATGCAGTCATGTGCAGGACGTGACGAGAGGGAAGCTCAACGTGTACGGTTGTGAGGGTAGGCAGTCACGTGAGGGACCTGACGAGTGGGAAGCTCAGCGTGTACGGTTGTGAGGGTAGGCAAACATGTGCAGGACGTGACGATTCATTGGATGAGCCGGAGTGTTATTTGTAGGCTCTGCATTTATGGAGGCCTCGTTGGATGGCGGGGAATTTCCACGATCTATTCCTGCCTTCCGGTGAGGACTGACCTGTACACATGCGGTTGCCCTGAGTGGGTTGTCCAGGGGTAACACCTGTAGATGAGGCAGTGTGGGGGGGGGGGGGGAACAACATACACATAACATGCCTAAATAGTATGTTTTGGGACTGCTAACATGATCTCACACCCAGATAGTATGGTTTGGGACTGCTAACATAATCTTACACCCAGACAGAGAAGTTGAAACTCGTACAAAATAGAACCATGTGAGTTATTTTAGGATGTATATGAGATACGCGGCGCATACTTGCATTACCGTCCGTATATGAGAGAGGAAAATGTACCTGAAGTCACAACAGACAGGGACAACTTTCTGCATGAGGTCTTAGGTAAACACAATAAACAGTGGATGGAAAGAGGTTGCAAAAGTCCTTGTAATAACAAGGAAGCTGGTGTGGCAGAATGGGTTACAGGGCCGCCCAACAAAACAGACTTGCACAGAGTGATCGTTACCTTGGACCCAGGAAGCCGGGAATGGATAGTTGGCGAAACACTGTCAGTGGTGCAAGAGTCGATCAATGACCATTCAATCGTAGGTGACATCTTTATACTTGAGGTGTCTGCAGTGAGAGGTGAGAACACTGGTGGAGATTTTATCGCAAATGTGAACGAACACTGTTTGAAAACAGAGAGCCTGGCTTACAAGCTCATTACACCCAGTATGAGACATGAGGTGGAGGCAGTAACGACAGCTGTTATATGGATTAAGAGAAGCACAACCTGTCATGTTGTGATTGTAACAGAATTAATTGAAACAGATCGTGGACTTTCTGTCGAGGATATTCAGGTGTGCCAGGTAACGAGCAGTCAGATAGATTAGCTGTTGCAGCTCCTCTGAGCAGTGTGATATAAGATTAATTGGATGTGGTGAAGGCTGTATGAAACTAAAGTGACATTACAAAAGAACAGAGAGGGAATCCATTCACTGAAAGACTAATTCAACAGGGGTGGGGGTGTTAAAGGGGAAGGGGGGGGGGGAAGGGGTCGGGAGGATAGGGGTGAAAGTTCTAGAAGATATTGAACACTGAAGGGGAAACAGGCGAGCATTAAATGAGATGGGAACTGGTAACATTAGCCTGTCAGCTCTTCCTTAGTTACTGAAGAAGGGGACGCAACACTTGTTCGGGGGTCCTGAGTGCAGTAATCTCAATTCCTGATTCATTCATTCATTGATTCCACATTGTTCCACATAACTGTCCCCTTCCCCTGACTTGACGTGTTCTTTGTGCCAGTCCCGTAACGCCGGCGAGCTGTCCAGGCTTCACTTCCAGCAGCAGACTGTGATGGAGAAGAGGAGGCGAGAGACTTGCCAACAGACGACCAAGTACTTCACCATGACGGAGCTCATGAAACAGATCTCCAAGATGACGCACGTCATGGACGAGGACATGAAGAGGCTGCCCTCGGAATACGAGGATGTCTCCGCCCGCACAGAGGCCAAGTACTTGAGACAGGTGAGTGCATGAGGTCATGTCTCCGCCCGCACACAGGCCAAGTCCCTGAGACAGGTGAGTGCATGAGGTCATGTCTCCGCCCGCACAGAGGCCAAGTACCTGAGACGGGTGAGTGCACGAGGTCATGTCTCCGCAAGCACGGAGGCCAAGTACTTGAGACAGGTGAGTATTGACGTCACGTCTTTGCCCGCGCAGAGGCTTAGTACATGAGACAGGTGAGCGCGTGACGTCATGTCTTTGCCCGCACGTAGGCTAAGTACTAGAGACAGGTGAGTATGTGACGCCGCCCGCAAGAAAGCCAAATACGTGATACATGTCAGTACGTGACACCGTATCTCCTGACCCAGATAAGAGCGCTAATGTACAATGTGCGGTTTTTTTTGGGTCCATGTGATAAATACAGATCAGTGAATAAAACAGCAAGTTCTTATCGTCCCATAATACAGAGCTTCTGTTTGACTTCTGAGAAAATGGCCGCCTTAATCTAACATCCCTCTAAAATGATTGCAGCAATACTATCCTATGCTTCTGTCAGTTTCCTGTTCGGTCAAATCTAGTACTCACTGTAAAGAAGCCTTCAGATATTGTTTATTACTGACACAATTTTAAACTGTCCCACGTGACACATGCAATTATTCAACTAGTGAGCGTGAAATTCGTCAACGCTTCACCTCTCTTGTCACATCATTTTCGTGAAAGACTAAGAACAAGATAGAAAGACTTCATACAACACTTTGCAACAGAACATTGCCTCGAGGTGACCGTGAAAGCAACGAGCAAAACAGAAGATCTCCGCCGATATCTGTTGCGTTGCTTATGCTCATTTAAGAAGCTTGGTCTACATGTGATGAAGTGAAATGTTTGTAAGTCACCGCCTACTTGCCGAGTGTCTTGTGGTGAATGATTAAAACTTCACCCATAAATGCAAAACTTCTCCAGTCGGCCTTCTGGCGACTGACTTGGTTCCCTAGTGGAGAGTCTGGCGACTGATTGGGTTCCCTACTGGAGAGTCTGGCGACTGACTGGGTTCCCTAGTGGAGAGTCTGGCGACTGATTGGGTTTCCTACTGCAGAGTCTGGGGACTGACTGGGTTCCCTACTAGAGAGTCTGGCGACTGACTGGGTTCCCTAGTGGAGAGTCTGGCGACTGATTGGGTTTCCTACTGGAGAGTCTGGGGACTGACTGGGTTTCCTACTGGAGAGTCTGGGGACTGACTGGGTTCCCTACTGGAGAGTCTGGGGACTGACTGGGTTCCCTACTGGAGAGTCTGGGGACTGACTGGGTTCCCTACTGGAGAGTCTGGGGACTGACTGGGTTCCCTACTGGAGAGTCTGGGGACTGACTGGGTTCCCTACTCGAGAGTCTGGGGACTGACTGGGTTCCCTACTGGAGAGTCTGGGGACTGACTGGGTTCCCTACTGGAGAGTCTGGGGACTGACTGGGTTCCCTACTGGAGAGTCTGGGGACTGACTGGGTTCCCTACTGGAGAGTCTGGGGACTGACTGGGTTCCCTACTGGAGAGTCTGGGGACTGACTGGGTTCCCTAGTGGAGAGTCTGGGGACTGACTGGGTTCCCTACTGGAGAGTCTGGGGACTGACTGGGTTCCCTACTGAAGAGTCTGGGGACTGACTGGGTTCCCTACTGGAGAGTCTGGGGACTGACTGGGTTCCCTACTGGAGAGTCTGGGGACTGACTGGGTTTCTACTGGAGAGTGCCTAACTAACACAATTCACAATGCACAACAAAATCGCCAATAACTTTGAATAAACTCCTCGGTTAATGTTCCCACACGCCTCCCGACCCACAGTCGCAATCAGCCCCCAGTGATATCAGAAACACATCCTCACTTGTGAATCATAAAGAGATTTTGGCTCCCGACCCACAGTCGCAATCAGCCCCCAGTGATATTAGAAACACATCCTCACTTGTGAATCATAAAGAGATTTTGGGCTTTCAACGCCTCGTCTCCATTGAATACACTCAACTGTAGCACTATGAAATATACACACAATTCTAACTAACAATCTAAGCTTTCTCCCCCCCCCCTCCCCCCCCCCAACACACACACACACACACACACACAAAAAACAACACAAAAACAACATAATTACATCTATAAATGAGACACTTCTGAACTCTATCGCAGACCGAAGGGCACAGACTGAAGAGCGCAGACTGATTCAACTACCCCGGGTCTCTTTCCACCCGTAGTTTCACTTCGATGTCACATTCTCACCAACTCTCCGTGTTCTGCAACAATCCCCGTGAAGATCGCTGTTAGCGGTTAATCTCAAGAAAGTCCTGTCTTACAATTTAAGAGTGTGGACCTTTTGCACTTTTCTGTACCATCATCGTCATCGTCATCGTTATCGTCATCATCATCTTCATCCAGCACCTCCACGACAGGCGCAGGTAATCACGCCTCTAACGCCTGGTTCAACTGAACGAAACCCTAAGCGGTAAAATAAAGAGGCGGAGAAGAAGAAGAAGAAGAAGAGGAAGAAGAAGTAGAACAAGAAGAAGAAAAAGAAGAAAAAGAGGGAAAAAAGAAGAAAAAGAAGGAAAAAAAACACAGCAGCTGCTGTAGCAGCCTCAGAAGCATCAGCAGAATAATGATAATAAGACGACGAACAAAAAGAAAAAATGAGAAGGAAAAGAAGAAGAAGAAGAAAAGACAAAACAGAAGAAATAATCCAAACCTACTATTGTGAGATTGTTTGTCTCTGTTGCTGCCATCTCAGTTAGTCTCGGAACAATGGCAGACTCTCAACTCGTTAAACTTGGAAATTATCAACCTGACTCGTCGAAACAGAACTCCACTGCCGCCCATACCAGCAATCAGGGACAGGATCTAGGTCACATGTAAGCAGTGGAGCGTGCAGGTGAGTTAGTCAGACTGTCCAACGTTCATGTGCAGCGCTGTCAGTCTCACTTGATCAGACTGTCCAGACTGTCCAACGTTCATGTGCTGCTCTGTCAGTCTCACTTGGTCAGACAGTCTAACGTTCATATGCTGTTCTGTCAGTCTCACTTGGTCAGACTGTCCAACGTTCATGTGCAGCTCTGTCAGTCTCACTTGGTCAGACTGTCCAACGTTCATGTGCAGCTCTGTCAGTCTCACTTGATCAGACAGTCCAACGTTCATGTGCTGTTATGTCAGTCTCACATGATCAGACTGTCCAACGTTCATGTGCTGTTTTGTCACACTTGATCAGACTGTCCAACGTTCATGTGCAGCTCTGTTAGTCTCACTTGGTCAGACTGTCCAACGTTCATGTGCTGCTCTGTCAGTCTCACTTGGTCAGACTGTCCAACGTTCATGTGCTGTTCTGTCAGTATCACTTGGTCAGACTGTCCAGACTGTCCAACGTTCATATGCTGCTCTGTCAGTCTCACTTGGTCAGACTGTACAACGTTCATGTGCTGTTCTGTCAGTCTCACTTGGTCAGACTGTCCAACGTTCATTTGCTGCTCTGTCAGTCTCACTTGGTCAGACAGCCTAACGTTCATGTGCTGTTCTGTCAGTCTCACTTGGTCAGACTGTCCAACGTTCATTTGCTGCTCTGTCAGTCTCACTTGGTCAGACAGCCTAACGTTCATGTGCTGTTCTGTCAGTCTCACTTGGTCAGACAGCCTAACGTTCATGTGCTGTTCTGTCAGTCTCACTTGGTCAGACTGTCCAACGTTCATGTGCTGCTCTGTCAGTCTCACTTGGTCAGACTGTCCAACGTTCATGTGCTGTTATGTCAGTCTCACTTGGTCAGACTGTCCACCGTTCATGTGCTGTTCTGTCAGTCTCACTTGGTCAGACTGTTCAACGTTCATGTGCAGCTCTGTCAGTCTCACTTGATCAGACAGTCCAACGTTCATGTGCTGTTATGTCAGTCTCACTTGGTCAGACTGTCCAACGTTCATGTGCTGTTTTGTCACACTTGATCAGACTGTCCAACGTTCATGTGCTGTTCTGTCAGTCTCACTTGGTCAGACTGTCCAACGTTCATATGCTGCTCTGTCAGTCTCACTTGGTCAGACTGTCCAACGTTCATGTGCAGCTCTGTCAGTCTCACTTGGTCAGACTGTCCAACGTTCATGTGCTGTTCTGTCAGTCTCACTTGGTCAGACTGTCGAACGTTCATGTGCTGCTCTGTCAGTCTCACTTGGTCAGACTTTCCAACGTTCATGTTCTGTTCTGTCAGTCTCACTTGGTCAGGCAGTCCAACGTTTATGTGCTGTTCTGTCAGTCTCACTTGGTCAGACTGTCCAACGTTCATTTGCTGCTCTGTCAGTCTCACTTGGTCAGACAGTCTAACGTTCATTTGCAGCTCTGTCAGTCTCACTTGGTCAGACAGTCTAACGTTCATGTGCAGCTCTGTCAGTCTCACTTGGTCAGACAGTCTAACGTTCATGTGCTGTTCTGTCAGTGTGCTGGGCTGTAAGTAAGTGTCGTGTGTATGTATGTGTGTGTAATTGTGCGAGTGTGTGCATGTGTATATATATATATATACATATTCACACATACACACTATTATCACCCGGCTTGGCCTAGGATAGTCTGTCTCAAACAATGAACTGTAGCGACCCTGTACTTTATGTGAATACTTGGTTACATAGAATATTCTTCGTCTGTTGCTAATCATCGGCCATGACGAACAATGATGAGGAATGCATCACTCTTGACATTCCCCATACACATTTGTCCATTGCAGAATCAATTGTATCATTTAATGGTTTTTGCGGTTTTTCTAGGAACATTTGACAATCAGTACTTTGTTAAACTCTCGCTACCTTTGATATACTGAGGCAAGACCGTCCGCTGCTAAATCACTGGCAGCTGGAATCGAACCCGGCACGAGGTAGCGCGTTCGCAACGCCTAAGCCTGAGACGCCAACCAACATGTATATGGTTGAAGTTATGCACGGTTATACGGTGGTGTGCACTCACATAAGGGGAGTTTTTGCCTGGGGCAACATTATAATAATCATTATTGCGTGGTAACTGCGGTTGCCTGGAATGTTTTTCTAGATGCATGTGATTAGTGAGTACTATCACCAAAACATTCCATAGCAGATCCAGTCGTTCCCTGATGTGGTCTCCTCCTAAACAGCCACTCCAGTCTCAACCGTCTGACCATGCCAGTTCTGTGTTGATTAATTAAACGTGTCTTGCCCTCAGCGACAAACTGGCGTCCTGCAGCTCCTAGCAGATCCACCATGTCCGACAAACTGGCGTCCTGCAGCTCCTAGCAGATCCACCATGTCCGACAAGCTGGCGTCCTGCAGCTCCTAGCAGATCCACCATGTCCGACAAGCTGGCGTCCTGCAGCTCCTAGCAGATCCACCAAGTCCGACAAACTGTCGCCCGGCAGCTGCTAGCAGAACCACCAGGTCCGCCACGGTGGCGTCCGGCAGCTGCTAGCAGAACCACAGGTCCGCCACGGTGGCGTCTGGCAGCTGCTAGCAAAACCACCAGGTCCGCCACGGTGGCGTCCGGCAGCGGCTAGCAGAACCACCATGTCCGCCACGGTGGCGTCTGGCAGCTGCTAGCAGAACCACTAGGTCCGCCACGCTAGCGTCTGGCAGCGGCTAGCAGAACCACCAGGTCCGCCACGGTGGCGTCCGGCAGCGGCTAGCAGAACCACCAGGTCCGACAAGCTGGCGTCTGGCAGCTGCTAGCAGAACCACTAGGTCCGCCACGCTAGCGTCTGGCAGCGGCTAGCAGAACCACCAGGTCCGCCACGGTGGCGTCCGGCAGCGGCTAGCAGAACCACCAGGTCCGACAAGCTGGCGTCTGGCAGCTGCTAGCAGAACCACCAGGTCCGCCACGCTGGCAAATATACGCAGACAAGCCGCTGGCCATGATCCTACTCGTGGTGTCTCTCACGTCACATTGATGACATGGATCCTGACCATTGCTCTGCCTGTCATAGTCACGGTTGTACTCTACAGACAGTAGGCACTGTTTAATATCTGTGTCTGATCTACAACATCATGCATCACTGTTTGCGTTGTTACATGACTGTTTATTGACCAAGGGATCACTGTTTGCGTTGTTGCAGGACTTTATTGACCAAGGGATCAGTTTGCGTTGTTACATGACTGTTTATTGACCAAGGGCTGTCAGAAATCCTTTCTCCTTGTCTTCCTCGACCTCCCAAGCTGCCCAAAGTCAGCTGCCATTAGGCCCAGGTTGGCCATGTGTCCTCCGCTGGTAGTTAGATACTAATGTTGTCAACAGATTGACCTCAATGCTAAGGAAGCCGTCTGTTGTGTAGAACTGACACCCAGGCTGTCGGAGACCCATGCAGGTGTACACGAAGTAAGACTCAGGTTGCCAGGGAAACTGATCAACACAACAACCAGAAGTTAATGTTTACCAAGTGCCACAAATGCATGTTTTTAAACATCTGCATCTTAATTTTTAGTTTTAATGAAATGTTGGATGTCTGCTCACTGGCGTTGTGTTGTCTGCTTGTCGTGTTTTGTTCGCATTAAAAATCAGATGATCAACTTGCTCACGTCTTTGCTGTAGCAATGGTTTACTAGTTATTGATTTGTCACAGGTTTTGATTAGAAAAATTTATCATTCTTGCTTTTCGATCTATTCGATATTCTTAACTTAACACATTCCGGAATTGTTCATAATTCATGTGATTTATAACCAACATTATTTCTGCTCCAATCACCTTTAAATTGTTTCCGAGCTTACATTTTTACAGACGTTATTTTGACATATACTCGCACTCTCACAACTTTCATCATGAAGCTTTACAACTTCTCTCTTCCCATAATATGACCCGACATATCACCACTGTCTCTTTCTGATGTTTGTGATGTGTCGTCTTCGAACCCTCGTCCCTTCAAGAACTTTGTTGCTTTTTTGGGCTGTCCAGTAAATTCTAACTAAAGAACATAGACTGCAAGACCACATTAACAAGTTAAACTCAGCATTTAGCAAATACAACGTGAATCAATGTAAACAAAACCGAAACAATGCAAGTTAGTAGAATCCCTGCCCCACTACACACACAGCTGAATGGTTCTGCCCTGAATCAAGTTAGGGAGTTTAAATATCTAGGAAGTATGATCACAGAAGATGGTAGAATTGACAGAAAAATAGAAACCAGATGTCAGAAAGCAAGTGCACTTATATACCAATTGTCACCATTATTAAGACATCCAAGCATAACTATGAGTGCAAAGAGACAGATTTATAAAAGCATATTTTTTCCAACATTAAGCTACCAGTGCCAAACATGGACACTATCTAAAGCCCATATACGCAAAATTACCACCTGCGAGATGAGGTGCCTGAGAAAAGCAGCCAACCTAACCATATGAGCTCGAGTGAATAAAGAAACTATCAGGCACATTGTGGGAACGACACCTTGTACTAGATTCATCGAGAAACAGCAGATCAAGTGATTTGGCCATCTCGTTAGAATGCAGCAAGATCAAATACCATCACAAGCACTAAATCTCAACATTAAAGACACTCTACGCCTTCCCGGGATGACAATAGCCAGTGGCAGCCAACGTGCACTGAATCGCAAATTATTTCTCCCCACGCCGCTTAACGGCAGAAGTGGTTTATGATGATGATGATGATGATGATGATGATGATGATGATGATGAATAAATTCTAAGCATTCTTCTGTACAACACATCTGTGAGTAAACAAATACTCAAATATAAACCCGTAAAACAGGTTAGTGGGAATCGCTTGGGCTGCGTCCTAGGGGGCAAGGGCTATTGCTAGCATTAACATTTCCTTGGTGGGGGAGGGAGGGGGGAAGGGATGGCATCTGAGGCCCTATAATTTGGAGGATGAGGGGGTGGGGGTGTGACCGAACCCTAG